GGCTTCTCGCAGAGGGAAGGAGTTGACTACAATGAGATTTTCTCACCAGTGGTCAGACATACTTCGATCAGAGTGCTACTAGCAATAGTGGCACATTATGACTTGGAGCTCGAGCAGCTAGACGTGAAGACAGCTTTCCTACATGGAGAGTTGGAGGAAGAAATTTACATGACTCAGCCAGAAGGATTCGAGGTTCCGGGAAAAGAAGACTATGTTTGTAAGCTGAAGAAGTCCTTGTATGGACTTAAGCAATCTCCGAGGCAGTGGTACAAGAGATTTGACAGTTACATGCTTGAGCTGGGCTACAGCAGAAGTCCATATGATTGTTGTGTATATCACAACAAGGCAGAGGATGGTTCGATGATATATCTAGTTCTGTATGTGGATGATATGCTCATAGCTGCGAGGTCAAAGTCTGATATCCAGAAGTTAAAGGGGCTTCTCAGTGCTGAGTTTGAGATGAAGGATTTGGGAGCTGCTCAGAAGATCTTGGGTATGGAGATTTACAGGGACAGGTCGAAGAAGAAGCTTTTCTTGTCACAGAAGAGCTACATCCAGAAGATACTGTCGAGGTTTGGCATGTCTTCAGCAAAGCCCTTAAATACTCCTAGTGCTTCAAATGTTCATCTATCCTCGGCTTATGCACCGCAGTCAGAGGCTGAGAAGGAGTACATGTCGAGAGTCCCATATGCTAGTGCAGTAGGTAGCTTGATGTACGCTATGGTATGCACTAGACCTGATCTTGCACATGCTGTTAGTGTTGTCAGCAGGTTTATGATACAACCTGGGAAGGAGCATTGGCAGGCTGTGAAGAGGATCTTCCGGTACCTTAAGGGTACACCTGATGTGGGGATTAGCTTCGGAAGTGATACAGAGTGCTTGGTGTCTGGGTATTCTGACTCGGACTATGCTGGAGATGTTGACACGAGGAGATCGATGACCGGTTATGTATTCACTCTTGGGAGTTCTGTAGTGAGCTGGAAGGCAACTTTGCAGTCGGCGGTGACATTGTCTACTACTGAGGCAGAGTATATGGCGTTGACAGAAGCTGCTAAGGAGGGAATATGGTTGAAGGGACTGGTTGGTGATCTTGGTCTACATCATGATCAGGCAGTGGTGTATTGCGACAGTTTGAGTGCAATATGCTTGGCCAAGGATCAAGTCCACCATGAGAGGACTAAGCACATCGATGTGAGGTATCATTTCTTGAGGACAGAGAAGAGGATTAAGGTGAAGAAGGTTGGCACCGCGGATAATCCTGCTGATATGTTCACGAAGCCGGTTCCTCATGGCAAGTTCCAACACTGCTTGGACTTGCTGAATGTCTTGAGTGGGTGACTCCGCCCTACGGGGCATTGATGGCGGGAGAGAGAGAAGGAGCAGAGTACATCAGAGATTTCAGAGGAAGAGGATTCAAGTCAAGGTGGAGATTTGTTGATATGACTTGAATCGGACTATCAGCCGCTACGACTGGTAATCGGGGGTCTCGCTGTATGGGCTCAATGTTATTTGGGTTCGGGTTCTGGGCCTGGTCTGTAACCGTTTCCTTTGCTAGATTGGATTAGGTTTAGACCCACATGGAGAAGTACTATAAATACTTCTCATACTCCTCTGTAATCTGTAATCTCCTCAGATATAGTGAAACTGGCTCTCTCTCGCCCGTGGACGTAGCTAACACACATCGTGTTAGTGAACCACGTAAATCGTGTGTCGTGTTTTCGATTCTCGCTTTCGTATTCTTGCTTTGTCGATCCCGGTACGCTTTTCAAACCACCATGGTACGCTTTATAACACTACAGTCTTGGTTTGTTCATACCACCATGGTACGCTTTTCAAACCATAGGTATGCTCTTATTTCAATACTAGTCAATACCATATGGTAAAGACAGGTAAAAAATGGTTCAATTTTTTTTTTTGTTCAAAAATATATCAAAGTGGATTTCATTCTGAAGAGCACAATTAATCTGATCTAACTGTGCAAAAAAATTAAATTTCAACTTAAAACGAGTGAGAAATCGTCCGTCAAAGATTAAAAAGGGGAAAATTAAAAGCTTTTCATGAGAGAGAATGATGTTGATGTTATGCTGATGTGAACGGGTTACTCATGGTTACTCACGATGAGGTTACTTACGTGAGCCGTTACCCTCTTTTAGTGTCCCATCTTTTACCAAAAAAGGTAATTGAAGTGCGTTACGGTACAGTGCTGGCACTATAGAATTCCCCACAATAATGCCCATAAATAATAAATATAATTAAACCAAGTATTTAGATTATTAGGTCAAAAAATTACAAAAACAATTATTAGATCAAAACTTAGCTTACCGATTCGTGGAGCGAGAACGAGAGCGTAAAAGCGTTCATTATTCAAGAATTACATTTTAAGAGCGCCAAAAAAGCATTAATATTATATTATTATAATTAAAATATTATGTAACTTACCAATAATTTAGTTAAAATACTAGCATAACTCATAGAAATAACAAAAGTTCTATAATTGTAACAAAGGTCACGCTGCCGGCGAAGATTCACCGCATACTCCAACCACAAATTAAAAGGGAGCAGATCTAGATTTTGCACGATTGCTCCATCAATCCATATCTTATCATCCAACACACCATCTTCTTCCTCATTGTAGATAACTCCAACGATTCCCCAGAAACTCAACATGCATTTAAACTCGGTACATGCAAACTAAATATTCTTCCCCAATCAACAAATTCCTTTCTTTCCGACTTCCTCCATCAATCCATCTAGGGATTCCTTCTCCTGCATCTCCAATTTCTTTCCTACTCTTATCTCTGTAAAATAAGTCGCGAATTAATTTGCAAAATCCACGCTCCGACCGAAAGTAATTCACGAATTTTGTGTGAATCCCTTTAAATTCGCATTTCTGGGCTACAACCAAGATTGTCAACCCGCGAGTTGACCCTGACCCGGCCGAGCTAGTGGGTTAAGGGTTAATGGGTCAACCGTTTTAGCCCGGTTTGGCCCAGAAATATAGAAAGAGTCATTATATTGTACTTATCCTCATAAATTATATCAAATCTTATGTAACATATGAGTTATAACATATAATATTACACCAAAATAACATATCGTACTTAGATCCAACATATAGTGAAAATTCACACACGCTTATATAACATAAATATTCAAATGTTCAACTTAGTATTCCAAAGATTGAGTTAGGCGGAAAAGAAAAATTGAAAAATAAGCGCATTTCACAAACTAAAGAAAAAAATGATACAATTTGACCTCTAACTTAGTACCTTATAGCGGTCGGTCCGACGAGTGCGTGCGGCCGATTTTTCTCACCAAATCATAGTCAAATTGGGTCGACCTATGGGTCAACCCGCGGGTTGACAACATTGGCTACAACACAAGTCGGCACTCGGGCTAAGATCAGGTGACTAAGGGGGGGTCCCTTAGTCATATGACTAAGTCAATCTCAGCCATTGAGCATCATTAAAATCTAAGGGTTGTAATTGATCTCATTTAATGAAGGGTAATCTAGTAATTACAACTTGATTTAATTTAATTATTAAAAATTTAAAAAACTTGCCTGCTTGCTTACGGGTTTTTTCCCTGTTCCGGCGACAGACAACCTCCGAAGGCTGCTGCGTTTCCGGCGGACTTTCCATCCCGGCACTCGTCGTCGATTTGTCATCCGCCGCCTTCTGACTGCCGCCGGCCAGCAATATAATGGCCCTGGCCTGCATCTCCGTCACGTCGCATACGCTTCTCCGCCCTCCCACCGGCGGTCCTTTCTTTGGCAATTCGCTGGCGCCATTTTTCCCGGGGGGTTGCAATGTTTCCCCAGGGAATTATCCCTTGAGAGAGGCTAGTGGGTCTGTGGGTTTTTTTTATGGGAAAGGGAATTTTCCCACGTAACAGAGAGAGAGAGAGTGGGTCTGTGGGTTTTTTATGGGAAAGGGAATTTTCCCACGTAAGAGAGAGAGTTTTTTGGTCGGATAATTTTCTGATCGGAAAATTTTTTCCGGCAAACATCGTCGCCGGAGAAGAATTTCCCGGCGACAATGCTAATTTTGTGATGTTTGTCGACATATTTTGTAATGTTTGTATGCTTTGTTATTTTGTAATGTTTGTCGGTTTTTTTTGTAATGTTTGTAAACTTTGTTATTTTTGTTAACCATGTTTGTAAACTTTGTCATTTTTGTGCACCATGTTCGTAATGTTTTTTATGTCTAAAAAACACCCGGGTTGACTTTGGGAAGGAGCCCCTCTATATAGGGATGGAGCCTCCAAAGTCAACCCGGGTGTTTTTTCCCGTTCGTATGGATTGTCGGTCTAGTTTGTCATTTTTGTCCACCATGTTCGTACTGTTTGTATGTCTAAAAAACACCCGGGTTGACTTTGGGAAGGAGCCCCTCTATATAGGGATGAAGCCTCAAAAGTCAACCCGGTTATTTTTTCTTTTTGTATGGTTTGTATTGTTTATCGGTCTAGTTTGTATTGTTTGTACAGTTCATACGTTTGTAATGTTTGTATGTTTTGTTGCTCTAGTTTGTACTGTTCGTATGTTTGTATGGTTTGTACTGATTGTAAATCCGGTTTGTATACTTCGTAATTTTCCATAATACCCAAACTACCCCTGTCATTAATTAAATAGTCCTTCCCACTTTTTAACCATTAGATTGAAGTGTCCAGATCTAAGGGCTAGGAGGGGCTTAGTCAAGTGACTAAGCACCCCCCTTAGTCACCAGATCCGCTCTCGGGAGCGTCGACCCCTTCCTGGGGAATTACGTGACCTAAGTCAAAACACGGATACATCCAATCCACTCCCCTAGACGAAAACACAAAATCTCCCCGCCGCTATCGGTATGGAACAGAGGAAAAGCCCCACTGTCGCCGGCCTCCATGAGGACGAACTAGATCGTATCTCGGAGTTACCCGACGAGATCCTCCACGACATCCTGTCTCGTATAAAATCCCAAAAATTCATCGGTAAAGCCACCGTCCTCCGCAAAAGATGGGCCAACCTCTGGTTCTCGTACCCAACATTGGAATTCAACGGAAACGATTTCAAATCCAAGGAATCCCTAAAAAGCTTCGCCGCCGCAGCCGCCAAGAAGTTCTCTTCCTTCCAACACCAAAACAACACTAATCCCCATCTCTCCTCCGTCACGATTAAATTTGACATCAGCGGTTGGATGGGAAACTACTACCCGGACTTCTGCACCACCATCCTCAACGATCTGCTCGGATTCGTCGCCGAGAATCCGCCGCAAGAGATTTATGTCACAGCATCGAATTACAGCATCCCACGGGAGTTTCTACTACCCGCCGGCGGCCCATTATGCCGCATAAAAAATCTCTGCTTGCAGAATTGCAACTTCTACCGCTACGCCAACCTTTTCACAGACGACGACAACAACAGCAACCCTTTTGACTGTCTTCGCGGATCCCTCAGGACGTTGAGCCTCGAAAGCGTCAAATTCCCCGACAGCGGCCGGATTCTGAATATCATGATCGCCGGCGCCTCCCTCTTGAAGGAATTGACGGTGATGTTTTTTTGAGGGGTTCAGAGGGTTCAGGTTGGGTATCTACCGAACCTGAAAATTTTGAAGCTTTACGCCAGTGACCAGGTGGACTTCGACATCGCATGGCGCCACTGTCCATCAAAAGATGGCCCCATGGAGATTGTGTTGACGCCAGATCTGGAAGATGTGGATATCGCATCTGCACGCAAGAGAGAAACAAATGAATTTTAGAGATTTCGCCAATTACGATATTTGTTTCTAACTCTAGTCTACTACTTGTTTGTCAGGTGCTTGTTTATCCACGAAGTTGGATGTTGAACGTTTGATATCAGAGTGCCCACTCATGGAGTCTTCAATAACATCAACAAGTGACCCTGCCTCTCCAGTTCATGACCTGAAGATTGTCAATAACGATAAGTTAAAGGAAGTTAAATTGAGTTCGTGGAACTATCCGATTGCTCTCCCTCTTACAACTTTCCTCCCATGGGTCAAAATTTGGTTCTTCCCTACAATCTTAAGTAAGGATCACAAATCCTTTGCCTTGGTGACAATCCACACCCCACTCTCCAGACTCCATCTTCATGATTTGGGGAAGCTTCTTGCGAAGCTAAGCCGATTCTGGTTGACTATAGAACTCATAAATGAATTTCCAAATGATCAGGTATGTGAGCCTCTACAATTAAAATATGGTTCACCATTTAGTTGGGTTTGAGGTCATACTTTCTGGTATTGTAATTGTTGTGTTTGCTTACAAAGTTAGTTGTGTGTTCTATGCAGCGCGGAAGATGTGGATCAATTTAAAGATGTTCGGTCTCCATTTATTGAACATGTGATAGTTTCGGAAAAGTTCTTGACATCGTGCAATAAGAAGAAATTCTTTCTAGATATCATATTCTATTGTTGTCGCCCTAAATTTTTATCGGTTACTCCGAGGATATATAAAGGGTCCAGAGAAAAAATGTTATCAGCTGCTGAGGTACGTAAACGTTGCAATCGTTTGCTTCGATGTAACTCTTTTATCTACGTATTAGCTCTCAATACAATTCTCCTCGGACAAATATATTTCTTTCCGTAGTATTGATGGTTTTCTGCTTTACTTGTATTTTGCAGTATATGCAACAAGTCTTCATGAAGAAAGAAATCAATGATTGTTGTCGTATCAAATGCAATTGTTGGCGTCAACGGCTAAAGGATGTCGAAATCTTACAAAGAAGTATAAAAGGAAGTATTAAAGAGGACAAAATTTTGAACATTTCAAAATTTATGTTTTCATCTCTTGGTGAGCAAGATCAAATCTGGTTTGTTTTGATTTGGCGATGAATTCTGATAGCTTGTAGCTTTACTTTTCTAGTCGAATGTGTTATTATTATTATTATTTTGTTTTTTTTTTAAACAATCGAGTGTGATGTGGATCGTATTTGTATTTCACATGTTAAATTTTGTCTACCCGTTAGTGATTTTCATGAAGTGGTATCTTTAAAAAGCAACACATTTTATTCAATTACATGTTGCACCATCTCAAAGCCATTCATTCGTCCGAGCAATTTTCGACGCCCAAAGAAAGGTTGCCACACCCTTCTCGCCCTGCAGGTACACTCCCTAGCTTGTAATATGTTTTTGGGTCTCTGTCAATCCACAAAAATGGCACGTGTTATTTTGGATGGAAGCTAACTGAATAATCATTTCGTTAGCTAGTGTAAACTACGTTACTAATTTATTAAAAATCAAATGTAAGCGCCTAAGCGGTCATTCATGTCACTAGCCCGAAAAATACTCTCATCTATTTGGGAACCTGATCATATTTGGTTTCTTCTTATGTTCTTAGACTTTCAATGGTTGCGGCTTTATTGTTGTTGTTTTTTTTTTTTTCATTGAGATTTCCAAAGGGAAGCCGTCAAACAGGGCTCAAGTTAGGGTGCATAACCATGGGTTATGCACCCATCAATAACCAAATCTGGACCATTCATTTAGAAAATCCAGATCTAAGGATGGAGAATTAAAGACTATTTTTATTTTCACTAGCTTTCTTAATTGACTCATATCTTTTTCGTTTTAACTCGGATTTTAATTTTTTTTGCACAGATGGAACGAGTTCATCGTGCTCTACAAAATGAGATCAATTTTCAATATTTTTTAGGAAAAAAAAATTCTGGCCTCTCGGTACCAACTACATACCATATGGTATCTTCTTCTTTTTTAATTCGTTTTTGAAAACGTTTGCACAACAAGGACGAGTTCATCATGATCTATTGGATCTATAAATTTCTGGGTGAACAAATTACAAGACCAAAAAACACCACATAATACCATACAATACCACCCTGGTACGGGGTGGTATCTTATGGTATCTTATGGTATACAATGTTAAAAGTCGTAAATGACAATTAATATATTTCTACTATCATGTATTCGACCATCCTACAAATTTCTGGGTGAACAAATTACAAGACCAAAAAATACCACATAATACCATACAATACCACCCTGGTACGGGGTGGTATCTTATGGTATACAATGTTAAAAGTCGTAAATGACAATTAATATACTTCTACTATCATGTATTCAACCATCCTACAGTTTTAGTTTGTATCATACCACCATCGTACGCTTTTCAAACAGTAGGTATGCACTTATTTCAATACCAGTCAATACCATATGGTATAGACTGGTAAAAAATGGCTCAATTTTTTTTTTGTTCGAAAATATATCAAAGTGGATATCATTTTGAAGAGCACAATTAATCTGATCTAACTGTCCAAAAAAAATTAAATTTCGACTTAAAACGAGTGAGAAATCGTCCGTCAAAGATTAAGGAGGGGAAAATTAAAGACTTTCCAGGAGAGAGAGAATGCTGATGTCATGCTGATATGGGCAGTTTACTCATAGTTACTCACCTGATCCGTTCCCGTCAAACATATACGAAATAAAAGTCTTTTGTAACACTTTTGACAAATTCTACATCGATAAAGCATAGAAGGGATGTATGGCTCATAAGAAACAATTCACTTTTAACTGACAAGACGTGTTCTGCAGCGAAATGGATGAGTTCTTGTAAGAACTCCGAACTTATACGTTCTTAATGTGGAGTACTGAGATGGGTGATCTCCTGAGAATCACTGTGATGTGCCCAAAAGCATCACGAGCATTAATACAATAGCGGTTCGATAAAATTTATATTATTAAGCCAAAATTTAGGGAGGGGTTATGGTGATTACCATGGTATGGAAAAATAAATTGTATTAATTAATTTTTTAATAAATTACATTTTAGACAGTTACAGAAATCTATTAATTAAAATTCTCTCTCTTTCTCTCACTTCCGTAATCTCCAGCCAGATCTCCTTTTCTTATTTTTCTCCATCTTTCTGCACACACAAAAAAACAAGAAATCACTACCAATCCATTAGACAACCACAATCACTTCGAAAAAACACTACCATTGCACAAAACACTAATACCATTGGAAAATAAGAACACTGTCATTTCATAAAACACCAATCCTATTGCATATTTAACTGTTTGAACCTAACTGAGTGTAGGAGTGAGGTTCGGGAAAGAAGGTGGGTCAAGGGGAATAAGCAAGGGAAATCGACTATATGACGTGGAATTAAGATCTTGGAGAACGAGGTTGAGGGAATTTGTCTTTAGAGAGAGAAGTCGGTGTTTGTAGAGATAGAGTCTGAAAATTGCGATCCCCCCACCCACCGGAGTAAATGCCATATTTATAGGCTCATGGTGGTGGGTGAGTTACATGATGGTCTAATGACATGACTAATGACATGACTACTGACATGTCAGGGGTTTAGGACATACCCCTACCTAGGACTTGTCAGGGATTTCTTTATGACTATATATAGGACCTTGATGTGACCACCCCTCGGGAAGTGTGACGTCGCCTTCTGCGGCTCCTTGGTCTGGTCCACGTTTGATTTTCCACGTGCGAGCGTAGCCTGTGACGCGCTCGAGGTCTCCGCGCTGTGCCGCGCTCGAGGTCTTCGCGCATTGCCGCGCTGGAGACCTTCGGTCGCGTCACGTCCTGGCGGGTCTGGCAGCATCGGGGGTAGTGTCGGTGTGCTCCCCTGTCGTGGCTAGGTCCGAGTCACATGCCCAACAATTGCCCTCCATCAGGGGGTGTTCTGTGAATACCACCTGTTTAGATTTTCGCTTAACTGACTCGGGCCTGCGTGATCTTCGTGGGGTGAATTTTTTGGATTCGTTACGCGCGACGCTTGTGGTTAAAGTTGTATTGATAGCGCGATTTCCCTAGGATTCTTCATGCTCATTTTGCGCGCCACTTTCCTGTTTAGATTTCCGCTTAACTGACTCGGGCCTGCGTGATCTTCGCGGGGGTGAATTTTTTGGATTCGTTACGCTCGACGCTTGTGGTTGAAGTTGTACTGATAGCGCGGTTCCCTGGGATTCTTCATGCTCATTCTTCATGCTTTTTGATTTCGGGTTTGTGTGTGTGGTTGTTTGATTCTTGCGCGATCTCCGTGGATGGTATTCTCCAATCTCTTTGTGCGCGGCCGAAGTTGGGCTTGGGATGTGTTTTTTCTTCTTCGCGGGTGTGCCATGCCCCCCAGGCGGTGCGCGGCACTTGTGGCGTCATCGACTAGTGCCTAGGCCTGGTAGGTGTCCACGTGTCTTTGTATGGTTGGACTACTTGGGCGGGGATTTTTTGAAATTCTAAAAGGTTTGATTGGATCTGACGGTTACGATTCCCGATGTGACCTTTAACCCTTCGTTTTCTCCTTGTCGACTATAAATATAGATTTGCTATTGGGGTCTTGGACTCATCTGTTTCCTTCGAACTCTGTTTCTTGCTTCTTCGTTCGTCCCTTATTCAAGATTCCTCTCCTTCTTCTACAACCTCAATTCTCATTTTGCTGCTGCTAAATTGCGAGGCATCACCATGGCTAGCAACAACATCAACGAGACTGAGGTCGTGCAAGGCGAAGAAGGTAATCTCTCCTCTTTTTCGCACACTTCTACTGATCCGTCGCTGGAATTGGAAGATTCCGGTCGTGGGGATGGCGGCGGGGCTGATGACGAGGGGATTCCGGCGACGCCGTCGTTCGACGCCAGGTCGGAGGATGATGTCGGCGGTTCTTCCGACGTGGGTATGGTTGTGTCTGGAAGTGGGCAGGCGGGACAGGCGGGCCGGGGCGCTCGTGGGGTGTTGATTATTCGGCGTGATCGTGCTGGGGGGTCTGGGGTCACCAGTGTTGAAGCGCGTGAAGAATCTGGTACACAATCGAAGCCGCGTTGTGTTGCGCGTGTGTCAGAGGCGATGAGCCGACTAGGGTTACGCGGGGTTGGCGCTGCATATACCATCTTAGATTGGGCGGAGATGTGGGGCGATCAACCGGCGCCGCACGACGGTCTTATGCGCGGGCCCGACCACGCGTCCATCTATGATTGCGATGACGTGATAGATATAGTTCGCGGGCTGGGCTTGCCCCCCCCCCCCCCCCCTCCCATTGGGAGTACGCTGCTCCTTCTACGCGAAGCATGGTGGGCAATTGCCCCCGGGGTGGTTTGGCGTCTATACGGAGTATTGGGTGATGGGGTCCAAGTTTCCCATCGACCCGTTGTTATGTGCTCTATATGGACGCCTCAAGTGCTCCGTTGGGCGTCTGTCCCCCTCAGTGATCATGCACGCGAGTTGTCTCCGTCTCGCGTGCAAAAGGCTCAACATTGAGCCGACTTATGGCCTGTTCCGGAAGATGTACAAAATCAAGGAGCCAACAACGAGGAGCGACTGCCTTTCCATCAAGCGTCGCGACAAGCGGCCCGAAGGCTTCGTGTATGGCTCGCCCAATTTAAAGAAAACTTGGTTCGAGCGCTTCTTCTATGTCAAACCCACCCCCGGGGAGTGGGCGAATGAGTTGGTGGCGGAGCCCACTGTTTGGAAGAAAGGCAGCACGCTCGGATATGAGTCGGACCTGGGCAATTACGCCGGGCTCAACGATGAGTACGAGGCGTGCATGTCGCATCGGTTCAATTTATATGCGGGGGGAGTCCGCGAGGG